GAAGTAGTCTTCTTTATGTGATGAAATTCAAAATAAAATTTTTAGTATAAATATTTACAAAATACACAGACATGTTTTTTAGAATTCAGTTTTCTCATAATATTTTTTATTTAAAAAAAAAAATGATTTAGCAATTGCCAAAAAATAAATCCCTTACATAATCAAGAGATCTTTCTAATTTTCATCCTAAGGCTTTATAGTTTATTTAACATACTATGCAATAGAAAAATATTTTACAATAAGTTCATTTTTGAAATATAACTAAAAAAAGTGATAAAAACACTATCATAGTTGACAATAATATACAAATAAATAACATGTCAAAATTTTAAAGAATAACTAATATAATTTTATTATCTAATCATTTAATCATTTAAAAAAATATTAGTTGTATATAATTAAATAAAGGTTAAAAAATATTACTCGACAAATATTAATTATAATAGATATCAATAAAATCATTGCATAAATTATTTAAGGAAAAAATCTTTAATATCATATCTGGATAGTAAATGTAAATATGCAAACATCTAATGCATATAGTAAAAAAATTTTAAATAAAGTATGCATTAAATGTGTGTTGACTTTTCTTGCTACTATTTTTGGTAAATAGGTTGGCTTTTAATATATATATAGATAACACATTCTATTTACCGAAAAAAATGAAAATGGCCATTTATTTACCGAAATTTAATGAAAAAGAAAAAAAAATTAGAGGGAAAAAAAAGTAATTGATATAAGGCTTAATTACACATAAAATCCTCATTTTTTTGTGTAAAAATGCAAACAAAATTCAACTTTTTTTATTTGCAAATAAATACTAAACTTTTATTATGTGTTATAAATTTGCTCAAAACTATTTTTCAGCCAATCTTGCTGACGTGTCGATCAGAACACTAAAATAACCTAAAAATCACTCGAAAATCGTCCCTCTGTCCAATTTTTTAGAATTTGGGAGTGAACTCGTAAATGTATTCGGAATACTGGGGGTGAACAATCGCGTCATGGAGAAAAGAAGAATCACTACAATTTTTTTTTTTTTTTCAATCGAGGGAGAAGAACTCAAGTTTTATGAAGATTGTGGAGCAAAACACATGGTGATAAAATCATATTTTTTTCATATAGTATTAAACTCCAATTTTGGTTAATCTGTTGGCATGTGATGTGACAAAAACATGGTGAAGAGTTTCAAGATTGATGTCACACAAGCCTCATAAGTGCCACGTAAGATTTCTGATCGGACACGTCAATAAGTATTGGCCGAAAAATAGTTTTGAGACAAATTTCCAACACATAATAGAATCTTGATATTTATTTGCAAAGATAAAAAAAATGAGTTTTATTTGCAATTAAACGAAAAGGGATAATTTTATATGTTATTAAGGCTTGATATAATCATGAGTCTCTAATTGTGCAGTACTAATTATTTATTTTTTATTTTTTATTTTTTAATTCCTGCCACGCTTGTCTGTCTTCTAAACAGTTCCTCACGAGTCTGTGTCGGATAATTTTTTTAAAAAAAATAAAAAAAAAATAATAATC